CTCTCTCTCTCTCTCTCTCTCTCTCCCTGGCGGCAACGTTGCGTCTAGGGCGGACTCAGGCGGCCGCATCTGTGCGGCAGGCTACCATTTCGTGTAACTTCACATAACACAAACTTACACCCTTCACCCCCTCGACACGTTTTGCAAATGCTGCGCGCAACAGTCTTGGAACTATTGGGTGCCTGCCTCGTGTGTGCATGGATTCAACCTTGAGCATGTATCAATGTTGACCGAACCCTTGGCGCTCAAAGGTTGTCCCCATTGATGAGGTTTAAGGCACACGTGTGGATTACAAGCGGTAGGCGACACAGAAAGCAATGTGGCTGATGTTGACCGCCACCTTCTGGAGCCATTGCTTTGTGTGAACCAAGTGGGGTGTGGCGTGCTCTGAAAGAGCGTCTTCTTCAACCGGCAAATCAAGCCATCGTACAAGTGTTGTTCACACCTGCTCAGCAAGCGCTCCAAGCCCCACCGACGACGTGCATGCGTGGCGCGCCGCTCGACCCAAGGCACGAGGGCGGAGTGCGGAACAAATGGGCGGTAAATTACCATGCCGTCTGCCAGCCCTGCGACGTGCACACGCGACTTGTGCCGCATGCACAAAAGGTCCCTAGGCTAGGAGGCCGCGCTCCGCCATGACTTTTTTCATTGTGACGCCCATCTGCGCAGGGCTGGGCGTGACGGTGACGCCCGCTGCCTCGAGCGCCGCGATCTTGTCCGAGGCCTTGCCCTTGCCGCCGCTGATGATGGCGCCCGCGTGGCCCATCCGGCGGCCCGGGGGGGCGGTGAGGCCTGGGAGAAGATGCGGAACGAAGGGAGCGGCAAGTGGGATTGGTGGGGGTGCAGGGGCGCGTGCGATGCAGCAGTTTCCTGAACGGACAAGCCCTCGTTTGCAGAGTTGCCGCCCGTCCATAAAGGCAAGACGTGCCCCTTCCCCGCCCTCATTCAGCCACCTGCGATGAATGACACCACGGGCTTCTGTGTGCCTGACGCCCTGATGAACTCCGCCGCCTCCTCCTCGGCCGTGCCCCCAATCTCTCCGATCATGATGATGCCCTCAGTCTAAGGGATCAAGTGAATTTGGGCAAATAGGGTGTGTATGTGTGAAAGGGAGAGAAAGGCGGGAGGTGAGGGACGGGATGGATGGGGGTCAAGCGAGTGCAGATTGTCGGAGGCGGGCACGGTGGCCAAGGCGTACAAAGGGGGTGGGGGCGGCTCGCAGAGGAGCAGCGTGGATGGCATGAGGGGTAGGAGAGCGGGGTGCAGAGGGTTAGACCACTGCAAACTTCTGTGCATGTCAGTGCCGCACCTACCCGCAGAACATAACCCCACCGACCAACACCATGCATGCAAGCACACCGACCACTTGCATACACACACACACACACACACACACATACACACACACACACACATGCACATGCACAAACACATACACCTGCACCCTATGGCCACAACCCTACACACACATACATGCACACACACACACATACATGCACACACACACACATTACATTACATTACATCACGCTTTTCCAGCAGCGAGGGGAAAAACCCTGGCTCCCCAAAAGGGTAACGCCCCTAACCGTAAAGGCCAGAGGAGAAAGCGGGTGCGGCCAAGTCGGGAATTAGCAAGAGGGCGCACGCCTCCTTGGCGGGAGAGATAAGCAAGCCTTCTTCCAAGCGGGGCGGTTAGAGCTGCGGTCGTCTAGGTGAACGGGGACATTGATCCCTATGGCAGCACAGTCTCGCCTTGCTACGTCAAACCATGACACACACACACACACACACACACACACACACACACACACACACACACACATGTCTTTAGAAACACAGCCAACCCCAATGTCACCTTATATTTATGGCGGTTCCCTCGTACCTGTGGGTCGTTGACAAATTTCTCGAGGC